AAGACTTTACACACCAGTTCCAAGACGAAATTACGTTCTTAAAACACAAATCAGCAATGCCGACGCGATCACCAACTTTGTGCAACTTTGTAGACTATTTCTTGTCGCCTATTTACATTGTTGTCGTGGATCGGACTCTCAACGATAGAACTTGCAGTCTGCCGTCAATGCCGTCTACGATTAACGACATTTCTTTATGCTGTTTCACCGAGGCTAGGGTAAGGGGCCCAGTAGTCGACAGTTTAAGAGCAAGGCTTTTCCAAATTGCCTACAACGGAGCGTGGGTGTTGCCTGTGAAAAAAGTGATGGGTCAATTAATTATGATGAAGTGATAGCTAGGGTAAGTAATTCAGACCTTAGTGTGGAATGGGACAGTGTCATATCTGATGCCCTTCCAGAATCTGTTTCAGTAGGTTTAATGAATGATGTTGTGTTATGTTTGTGCCGCACCTGTGGTCGTGGTTTTGCCAAAAGAAGACTCAACTTTGTTCGAAAGAAGCCTGTTGTCTCCATGCCAACCCGACATCTAGTTGCTTCCCGTAAGAATCGCTAACATTTTCTATTCATGACTATTGTTACCCAATGTTTGTGATTTTATAGTTTTGACTAAGTCCAGAAGCTGTAGCTTTAAAAGTTGCCAAAGTTTAAGACGAGTAAGTGCTACATGTACCTGTGTTGGTAATTCTTATGTGTTTGTCAATAAGTATTCTTAATGTTCCTGTAATAGTAGTTTATAAGGAGAAAGGTCTAAGCAGGGAATTTTGATAGTTCAAAATTTATGTATGACTGTATTGAGACTGACTTCTTTGTGTTTAATCATTCTAATGTGTTTGATTATTAAATTTTTATCACAATTGTTTCAAATAAAGACATTTTCTTTTTAAATAGATGTTTTATATTGTCTATTTCCTTCTCACACTTCCCTCCATGAAAGTTGCTGTACAAAATACACACAATACATAAAAATGTGACAAATTTACTAACAAAACAATATCTTAACACATTCACAAGCATTTTTAAGAGAACTTAGGCCCACGCACATATTTTCTTTTCGGGAGTGGTTCAGTTGTAACTTCGATTTGATTACTATCTTCACCGTGATTTCCTTTTCTTTTTCTCGTTCCAAGTTGACCTATTGTGTGGAGCGCACGGTTCCTATTCAGCACTTGAAATATATTTGGGTTGTTACTTCCACCCTGTCCTGCTCTAACTTTGCTAAAATGCTGCTCTAATGGGTCCTGGGTGAAAACTCTAGCATTCACAAATGATGCACCAGCCTTTAGCATAAAAGAAACAAGAGGTTTAAAAGCATAGGATGTCATTCTTATGCCATCTAATGTTTGTTTACTCATAAGTCTCTTACTGCTACTTGTTTCTTCATCAGGGTTGAATACACCATCTTCAATTTCACTTTCATCATGATCAAGATTATTTATAGAAGCATTGGAAATCATAGAAGCGTTGACTGATTGATTGGGGTTCTGTGCTTCTTTCTCCCAATCTTCTAAATAATTCAAAAAATCTTCTATAAGGCCAAATCTCTCATCTGTTTCTGATGTGTAGGCAGCCACATTCTTGTTTCTTGTTTTAGTAGCTATAGAGGAATGAGCCCCATTTAAGTAATCAAACCAGTCATTTACCTTCTCTAGAAACAAAGCCGTTTCACTGGCTTCAAACCACCCCTGACTGCGCAAGTCAGTGGATACAGTTTTACTTAAAACCTGGCCAGCTAGTTTTACTCTCATTCGAGCGTATGAGTCAGGGTACACATTCATTGCATTGAGTTTGTAGGACTTTCTCAGACTTTTGTCCTTCTTGGCTTCATATAACTTAATAATAAAATCCCACGAGATTTTCTTTCCATTCTTCACCATCTTCCTTCTACTTTTTTTGCCGTCCCACCTTGAATTAAGGAGACAGTTTCTTATTGTTTTCAGCAAGTGTGGTACGTCAGCAAAGAAGTATAATTTTCTTCCAGTTGTTGCCTTATTCCAGGTATCAAACACAATACCACTGGGATGCTGAGTTGCTGGCTTATTTTTTTTAATGAAAGATCTATTAACAGAAGAACCATCACTAACAAACACTAACACAGCTATTCCACTTCTCTCCAGCGCACCAATAACTTTCCAGGTCCACATATACATCTGATTTGCACTCAGTTTGGATGTTGCAAATGTAGCAACCACTTCTTTGATGCCATTAGTAATGCCTTTCACCATATAAACAAGGACAGTTGAAGCAGTGGTTTGTTCCATGTCTTGATCTGGGTTTTCAAGTAAATGTTCTAAACATTTAATTTCTTTGTCAACATCATCAAGAGTAGTGTATCCAAGTAATTTCCCAGTTGACTTCTGAAACACTAAATTTTGGGAAATATACATTTCATCGGCCATAAGGACATGGAATTTTTTATGTTTTTCCTGAAATGCATCTACTCTTCCTGCCAATGATTCCAATACTAATTTATCTATACCCTCTTCAACAGGTTTAACATGCGAGTAATCAAACAAAGTTGAACTTGAAGGCAATTTAACAATTCCACTTTGACGCATGAGTTCATATGCAGCAGGTGATGTTAAATGAAGAGAGAGTGCAAATCTTATCATGGTGGGGTGCCACCTCATACCAGCTGCATGCTTTAACTGTGATGCCTTGATTTGCTGTTGCAAAAATATTGACTGGGCTGGACTCACTGACTCACATTGAGCTAGAATTTCAAGCAGATCATCAGACAATGACTGATCAATTTGCACACCTTCCTTACTTAAAACCTCTTGCATTCTTTCTTGAAGTCTATAAATTTTTTTCTTGGCATTGTTTAGATCTGTTCGTTGATTTTGCAACTTCTTTAACATTTGCTGTTGAGTTAGATAAATATTTTTAGTGTGTGGATTGGCCTCTTCTTGAGCCATAGACTGGCTTTTTCTTTTAAGTGGTTTATACATTTTAGCACATTCACAGCACCTCCACTTACGATTGGGGATGAGTCTCACACACATATTAGATCTAAATGTTTCAACATAACGACATTCTTGAAATGGATTTCTGTCTACCTCACCAAGAGAACAATGAGACCAAGCATTTTGATATTTCACATCATCGTATCCACTACAGATTTCCATTTTCCTAATACCATTCACAATAGTTGCAATTCTATCAACAAAATTATTTACAGTGTCCTTGGCAAGGGGCTGAGGGGGATCTAAATCTCTAGTAAATTCTTCAAGACTTAATAATTGATTATGTACATACAATTCTTCTGCTCCACTTGCAAAAACCTTCAAATTTCTCTGCACAGTCACCGTATTTTGAACAGAGTAATAGCAAACGTGTAATGCATCCCTGTCAACAACAACAAACCAACGATGGTAGAGAAATAATTTAAGTTTTTCAGTCACTTGCAGCCATAAATCAGTGACAGAAATATCATTAACAGCAGCAGATACACTCTTTGGATCTTCATGTATGACAGACTTGGTAAAGTCAGGAGAGGCACAGTAACTATGTTCAGATGTTGTCTGCAAATAAATAAAAATAAAATTAGTAAAAAAAAAAGCTTGTGAAAGAGGAATTTGAAAATCAGATACTTACTAGAGTTGACAAGAGTGATGAGTTTAAATGATGGCTGGTACTTTCCACAGAAACAGAGGGAGATGATTTTCCTTCATTATCAGTGGACTCAAGGTTTCCAGGTGTGTCTGACAGAGGGGACTCATTCACTTCTTCAGCGACAGGCTCATCATCAACCTTTAAAGAATCGAAACAAAAAATGTCAATAACTGAATTAATAACGAAACGTTAAAATGTACATGCACCTATACTTCATAACCTTACCACAGGACAATTTACTGGGTTTGGTGAATGAGAAGTCTGTGAAGCAGAGTGAGCTTTCCCCTTTTTCCGGCCCAGCCTTTTCCTTCGTGATATTTTAACCATTTTACTTGCGCGCAGAAAGGAACCCTAGAAGAATAATGATAGTTACGAATTGGATGTCAGACGAACGAACATTCGTGTGGAAAAAAGTAGCCTCTGCAAGTACTGTACCTGTAGTCTAAACTTTCTAACGACGCCGTGACAGCAAAATAGCTTCTATATTTACCGGCTGCCCTGACCGCCGCTCATAATTAGCAATTACAACCATAAAGTTCATTAATGTATTTGAAAGAACGAAAACATTCAAACACACACACACAATTCTGCAAACAAACAATCGTTTGGAAGCGGAGGGAGCGGGTGGAGGTGGAGGGGGGAGCCGCCGAGGCCTGCTCATGCGCAGTGCGGCAGCCGGCCGCCGCGCGCCGCGCCGCCAGCCGCCGCCGCCCCGACCGGCAGCCAGCCAGCCGAGCCGCCTCCCCCGCCCGGCACGGAACGCGCACTTTGCGTCGCTCGCGGCTCTTACTCGTTGATGTCAGGGAAAATCAAACTATATCAGGAGACGCAGAAAAGCCTAGCGAATACAATGCTGTGGTCAGAATTTTCGAGGAGCGCATATTACGCCCGAAAATCGGCCCCTACCTTCGACGTGCACGCTCCGCGGCGCTTAAAGCTGGGACTCCAGGGCGCCCTTCTCTCATGCCTGCCCCAAGCATTCGTGCTGACTTACATGAATGCTTTATATGAGATTGATGGAACTGAAAACAAACAACTGAAGTAAATACACAAATTAAAGC